TCGCGGTCTCTCCGTGTCTCCGTTCGAAGATGCTGAGTCGCGATCCCCTCCCCCCCCCTCCCCGTGGAGGAAAACGGTTTTCCGGTTCTTCAGGAAATTGCGTATTAGCCGCAATCGCGTTAGCCGCGGCGATCGACTCGGCGCGGCGTGCCACGCGCGTGTCGGAATAATAACAACACTCTCGTCCTTATACGGCGACGACCATGACGAGAGCGATTACATCAACCGCGGCGGCCGAGCGGCCGGAGCAGTGACTCACCAGATAATAATCGATGGGTTTCTCGCGGGCCTTGCTGTAGCCCTTCTGTAGCTCGGTCTGCTTGAGCGCATGGGCGATGTGTAGGGCGCTCGCGTCGAATCTGCCGTACTGATAGCTGCCGTCCCCGGAATACATGTGATTGTTGTACGGCGAGGAGGCGCCGCCGCCGGTACCGCCGGCGTGGATGCCATCGCGCTGGGATGACGAGTTGGCCGCCGGCGGCGAGCCGTGCCCGTTCAGGTGCCTGGCATAATTAGGCGAGTCTACATTATCGTAACTGCAACAGAAGCGTGCACACGGGTCTTGAGGGGATTGCGAGGGTTCACCGCACAGGGCACAGGACCGCTCGGTGAGGTCCCCGCTGCGGGGATCGAGAAGCGATAACGAAGCGTTAACTCTTCCACATTGCCGGGACTAATGAAATTAGTCCCAGGGCGACCCTCTCGTCGTGCCCTGATCTTGAATAAATTACTTTTTGGTTGACGTAATGCAAAAATAGCGTATATAATGATAATAAAAAAAAAGGTTACTTAATAAAATAATAAAATTGATTTCAAGTGAGATGAAAATGTCATTTGTTAGAAGAGCCAACTCTTTCGCTATCGAAGCCAAACTGTTTGAGAGAGACTTTTTTAAAGCTACAAAGATTTTTTTTAGAGTATGGAACTCTTAGAGTTCCATCGTTAATCCTACACATTATAATTTTTATATTTAAGAAAATGGATTTGAAAGATTGGAAAAAGAAATTTTGATAAGTAAATTCCATTAGGTTTTTAATATAAGCTCTCTTAGTTTAGCAATGTTAGCAATTTTCATGCAAGCCAAATTAATTCTTTTGCAAGTTAGTGCGCAATAATGTAATTAACTAATAATTACAGATCTTACATTCATCGGAAACATTTCTCGGAAAATCAACTTTCTTTTCTTAAATATCGCGGAAGCAAAAAACGTCGCGTACAACGCGCGCATATGTCGCGTACAGATCCTACGAATTAAAAAATTGCCGCTAATTAGCTACGTTAATACCGACGATAACGGAATAAAAGCGAACATTACGGAGGTAACGCGGTGTCCTTGATACCGCGAACGTCGCTCGTTACACGACAACGCTGGCAAAGAATCCAGGTCGATGGATTACGTTAACCCACATATCCTCAACAATCGCCATCTCGATCCTCCCGCCATCCTCCCCCTCGCGCTGGTATGATGACCCCCATAATTCCGGATACAACTGCCGTATAATACGTGTAATAGATGCAATTACTGCGACGCGAGTCGCGAGCAACAATTAGCGTCGCGGTTAAGCTCAACGAGCTTGCAATAAATAAAAATCTCACCGCAGGCGCGATAGTCCGCGCGCCACGTTTGTGAGAATTTAGTGTATCGCTTAAATGAATGTGTTACACCTCTCTCGCTCGTTCCGCCGAGTTCATTCACTTGCGCGACGGAGCCCACGCTCTTCTCT